GCGGGGGAGGCCGGCGGGGCTGGCCCGGAGCAGCCCACGGCGGCCAGGCGAGCCCTCGGGCCGTGGCTCAGTTCTTGCTGAAGCCCGTGGGATTCTGCAGCTGCCACCGCCACAGGTCCTCGCCTGCAACAGGGAGAGAGCGGCCGTGAGGGGGGGCCAGAAGAGGGGCAGCCGGCGGCGCGCCGGGGCGGGGGGATGCTCTTACACATCTTGTCCAGGCCGAAGGCCGCTTTCCAGCCCAGCTCGCGCTCAGCCAGCGCCGGGTTGGCGTAGCAGGAGGCCACGTCTCCCTCCCGCCGGCCCGTGATCTTGTACTTGATCTGCAGGGAAAGCAGCACTGTGGGGTCTGGGGGCTCACGGCTCTCGCAGAGGGGCCTCGTCCGAGGCCCGGGAGCTGAGGGAGCGGTGCCAGTGGCTGCTGCAGACACGGGCACAAGGGCTGCCGTGGCAGCGACGGCTTGGGGTGGCAACGGAGGGCCTGTGGGAGCAGCTGGCTCTGTGCCCGTGGCCTTGCAGGCTGCGGGTCAGACCTTACCTCCCTCCCTGAGGCTTTCTCCATGGCCCGGACCATCTGCAGGACGGAGTAGCCGGTGCCTGTGCCCAGATTGTAGATCTGGGGGGAGGAGAAGGGACGTGGGTCAGCTGCTTTCGCAAGGGGAGAAGGGCCAGGCCCCCTTCAGCTTCCCCAGGGCTGCAAGAGCCCGGCCCTGGCCCAGCCCCACGGCCCTGGCAGGGCTGACCACGGCCCTCTCGGTACCTTGCAGCCGCAGTTCTCCTTGAGCTTCTTCAAAGCAGCAATGTGGCCCTTGGCCAAATCCACGACGTGGATGTAATCCCTGACGCCTGCGGGGACACCGAGGGTGAGCGCAAAGCCCTCCCGGCCGGGGCGCAGCCAGGCTGGGGAGCTGCGACGGCTGCCTTGGGGGACGGGGTGGCTCTGCTCCACCCGTTCTGCGACGCACCCGTTCCATCGTCCGTCCCGTAGTCATTCCCGAACACGCTCAGGAATTTCCGGCGCCCCACTGCCACCTGCACGGAGGGACAAGCCCATGAGAGCCCCGTCAGCCTGTGCCCCGCGCAGGCACCACGAGCCCGGGGGTCCCCAAAGGCTGCAGCGGGGCCGTACCTGCGCCACGTAGGGCATGAGGTTGTTCGGGATCCCCTGAGGATCTTCTCCGATCATGCCTGACTCGTGGGCACCGATGGGGTTGAAATAGCGCAGGAGAACAGCGTTCCAGTCCTGAGGAGACACGCAAACGCAGCTGCCTGGGGAGGGTGCGGCGCTGTGCGGCGCTGCCTGGTCACCCCAGCACGCGCCAGTGGGAAAAGACCTCGGTTTGCAGCCCCTTGGGGCAGCTCCTCACCCCCTCTGCTTTGCAGAGATCCCGAATCATCTCCTCGATGAAGTATTTGGATTTGCCATAGGGGTTGGTGCAGCCTCCAACCGGGTGGTTCTCATCCAGGGGCAGGTACTTGGGGTCTCCGTAGACGGTGGCAGAGCTGCTGAACACGATGTTCCTCACGCCGTGGGCTTTCATGGTCTGGGGAGCAGGGACCGGCCGCCACTGAGCCAGCAAGCTCCGCGCCCTCCAGCTCAGCTGCGCGGCTCAGCCCGCCGCAGGCGGCAGCTCCCGCCACGCAGGCACCGTTACAGCCTGGGACAGGGCCTGGGGAGCACCGCAGGGACCAGCCAGCCCAGAGCAGGATCACACCCAGCACCAGTTGCCCAGCACCCAGGTGGTTCCTAGCACCCCATGCTGCCTCCCGGCTCCGCTCACCTCCAGCAGCCGGATGGTCCCGGTGAGGTTCACCCTGTAGTACTCCAGGGGCTTCTGCACAGACTCCCCCACTGCCTTCAGCCCCGCAAAGTGCATCACGGCTGAGAAACGGTGCTGCAGGGAGAAGGAGCTTGGCGTTAGCGCCACAGCAACAGGAGGTAGAAGCTCCAGGCTGAGACCAGGCAGAAGTCTCCCCAGGAGTTTCATTCAGCCAGCCCGCGTGGTCTCTGTGGCCCAGAGGAGCATTTGCTGGTCACAGCATTTCCTTAGCACCGTCCTCCCCGCTCAGCTCCTGCCCAGTCCACGTCTCCCTCCCTCCCCCCGCGGCTCCTGCCCCCAGCACAAACCCCTCTCACCCCTCGGAGCCCACGAGGCCGCCTTGGGGCACCCCGGCCCTTGCTCTCACCTTACTGAAGAGCTCCTGCAGCGCTGCCTCGTCAGTGATGTCCAGCTCCTGGAAGAGGATGGGCTGGCGCACAATCTGCTGCACGCGCCGGAGGCTCTCGGGGAGTGCGTCTGCCCCTGGGGAGACGGAAGGGGGTGAGGCACCGGGATAGCTGGAGGTCCCAGCACGGGCTGAGAGCGGCCGAGCCCCTTGTACGGGAAGCGCTGAAGGCTCTCCGTACCTCGGATGGCATTGTGAAAGTTGTCTACGACCACGGGGACATAGCCAGCCTCCACCAGCTCCAGCACGCAGTGACTGCCGATGTAGCCAGCTCCGCCGGTCACCAGGATCTTCTCTGCCATGGTTCCCTGCGGGAGGAAAGGCCCTTCAGCGCAGAGCGCCCTGTGAGGCGGTCAGGGCTGGGCACGGCAGCCTGGGGCCCTGGGAGGGAAGGGGCAGGTAGGACTTGGACGCTGTCACGTCAGCACTGGCTGTAGGCACTCCCTGCCCTTGGCCCGGCCTGCGCCAGGACGACATCTGACATCCGGAGAGGAACGGGCTGGGCAGGTTGTAGCACACCCTGCCGACACAGTTCACACCTCCTGGACAGGGAGGGTTTACCTGACACTTGTCAGATACCGGGAAAAACCCTTATTCTTCCTGTTAAAGCCAGTCAAGATCCGGGTGTCGCCCATATCCTACAGCACAAGTCCCTCAGGCTAATTCACCCCTAAGCACAAAGGCAAGGGGTCACCTAAGGGTGTTCACGCGGGTGGCCTCCTCAAGGGGCACCAGCTCTGCCCTCTTCCCCCCGTTCCCCGTTTTTTCTCCCGCTCTGAAATCCCCTCTCTACGCTCCCTCCAGCCTCCCCTCCCTCGCCCAGCGCTGGCCCCGAGCCGCCCCTGCTGCCCGGGAAGGTGGGCACTGGGTCGCTGCAGGCTCCAGGGACGTTTGCTGCCATACACAAAGGGGAAACCTGGAGGCCAACCCGCAAGGAAGCCCCCGTCCCTGGGAACCGCGCAGCAGCTCCGGCCCAGGGGCAGGAGGCAGAATCCGCTTTAGCACCGCGGCGAGCGGAGGCAGCGCAGCGAAAGCTTCCACCCCGGGTGACTTTGGTCACTCTCAGAGCCGCATTTCAGGCTGAAAACCAACCTGAAACCCCTCAGCTGCCCTGCCCTGTGCCTGCTGCCGGCCCCAGGGCTGCTCCGAGGGAGGCCGGCGCCTGAGGCAGGCGAGGGCTGGAAAGCCAAAATAACGCTGCTTTTCGCCAGGCGGGCAGCGGGACGGGGGGTGGACGTGGGGCGGACGTGGCCCAGGGCTACCTGCGGGGCTGCGGCCACCCGCCGGGGCCGG